AATTGCAGTATCCTTGTTAGCCATGCCATGCCAGAGAGTATGCCAGAACCAAAGTCTGTAAAGTAACACAGTGAGGAGGTCCACTGCCTTCAATATTATATGTGCATGCGGTGCTAGGGATGGAGCCCACAGCCTCAGTCATGCCCTAACTCGCTTACAAGTGCTCTGACACATTATGCCTGATGCCCTCACAGCTCAAAGCCAGTTTGTATCCTTCCAATGGTGCCGTCCCTATCCTGGAGCAGCACACAATGGCAAAAAAAAGAAAAAAAAAAAAACAAGCTCCTGAGGCAGCGGTGGCTGCAGCAGCAACAGCAGCAACAGGGAGGTAGCAGCCAGGAAAGCAAGCGCCGCTCTGTCTTTTATACAGTGACTAGAAGTAAGCAAGATCTGTTCATGGGGTCAGAAGGCAGACAGGACCATCTGGTCTCAGGGACAGCCAGAGGACAGGAAGCAGAGGCCTGGGTGCTAGCAACAGCTTCTGCGGCTGACTGTGAATGGCTAGATGAATGATAGAATCCATCAAGGGAGGTGCTGACAACCTGTGCACCTACAGGTAGCATGTTTCAAGACAAGGAAGAAAGCTTTGTACAGCCCGTGCATCCCACGCTGATGCAGGTGGAGAAGAGACAAAAAGAACAGATGTGTCATGGTTCAGGACACAGGGGCACAGGGCAGAGCACAGCTAGACAGCCTGACAACAGCCCCACTCACCTGAGCAGTGTGCAGCACACGCTTGGGGGCCTAGAGGAACGGGCAAGCAGGGCATGTGGGTGGAAACGTGGAGATGCAGGGACACAAAGGAACAGGAGGCATTTTTTTCTTCCTGACTTCCAGCTGGAAGCCTAAATCTGAGACAGTCTACGGGTTGTATGGATCAAGGCTTTGGATAGAGGCCCTGTGACTCCTGCCGTCAGCTGATATGTTTAACTACAAGGCGTGAAAATGCACTTTTAGGGCTGCCTAGTTTGTCAATCTGGGGAGGCTGGTCAGTGGACAGGTCCCTTAGGCTTCCAGACCACCAAATTGCTGCTGGTTGTAGTAGTCCCTGAGGGTGAAGCTGTCCTTTAGGGCAGGACAAGACAGACAGAAACTCCTGATGTGACAGGCTGTGATCTGGGCTCCAGGGAGCTGCCAGCAGAGGAGGTAAACACACATGGAACACTGTGTCACCGTTTTTGAGACCTTGGCTAAGAAATCCTGACGTCTAGAAATTCTCCCAGCAACCAATCTGCAACAGTACCCTCCTCTCCTCCCATCTTGGCAGCCAGAGCTCCTTAAGCCAATGTGCTCAGCTATTAGACAGCAGTTCACCATGACAAATTCTCTCCTGTGATAACTTCTCCTTGGGTCTCCCCAATGTTCTGAAGACATTAATTTAGCCTCACACCAGGGTGTCATGGTTTCTTCACAGTTCAAAGGAATAGCACAAACCAAGCATACTATGGGTATGACAGAAAGCTGTGGACACAGGACAGCCTTGAATTTCAGCAAGGCCAGCCTACTCGCCACCCCCACCCCCGACAACAGGGACAGGCCTGTCCTTCAGGTGGCTTCTCTCACCCTACTGTGTATTGAAAAATAAATAAATAGAGTATTCAGTTTAGTTTAGGTTTTGCTTTTGAAACAGGAGTCCTGGAGGGTCTAGAATTCTACATAGACCAGGTTGGCCTCAAACTCTTAGAGATCTGCCCACCTCTATTTCCCAGGTACTAGGATTAAAGGTGTGTCCCACCATACCCAGACAAAATATGGCATTCTCGTCGGTTTTCTTTTTTTTTGGTTATTGTTGTTGGTGTGTGTCTAGGTCGTCATCGTTGTCATCCCCCCCCCCACACACACACACAGAGTTTTTCTGTGTAACAGCCCTGGCTATTCTGGAACTCTTTTTGTAGACCAGGCTGGCCTTGAGCTCACTGAGAGCCACCTGCCTCTACATCCTGAGTGTTGGGATTAAAGGCATGCACCACTAATGCCAAGTTTATGGCATTTTTTTTAAGAAAAAAAAGATTTATTCATTTCATGTATGTGAGTGTTTTCCTTACATGTTTGTCTGTGTACCACGTGCATGCCAGGTGCCTGCAGAGGTGCAAGAGGGTGTCAGGCTTTCCAAAACTGCAGTTGTAACACGTTATCTGGGTGCTAGGAAGAGAACCCAGAACCTCTGCAGGAACAAGTGCTCTTAACTGAGCCATCTCAGGCTCACACTGCCCCAAAGAGAGAATAAAAGCAAGCACTTCAACAGCATGCTTGTCAGTACAACACAAATGTCAACAGTGGACCAAGGGAGCTTTGCTGGGAGGTCGACGCTCATTCTCAAAGGGTATGATGTGCACACTTGTAATCCTAGCTCTTGAGAGGCAGAGACAGGAGGATAACAAATCTAATGCCAGTGTAGACAACACAGCAAGAGTCAGCGAGTTGGCTCAGCAGGTAAAAGCACAAGTTTCACAAGCTGCGGACCTGAGTTCAAGCTCTAGAATACACAGTACAAGGAGAACCAACTCCTAAAGGCTGTCCTCTGACTAGTCCTTCATAGTGTACTGTGGAGCACGAGCCTGGGCATCACACACGCATGTATCACACACGCGCACACTAAAACAAGAAAGTTTCTCAGCACCCTGCAGAGAAATAAAATGGCCATGAGGTTAAGGCCAGCCTGGGCTACACAGCAAGTTCTAGGCTAGTCAAGACTATGTGGCAAGACACTGCCTCAAAGAACAATGACTAGTTGTCTTAAAGATCAACTTGGCTTGAGGTGACCTTGTGGTCAAGGGGCGAGCCCTTTATCAAGACCTGTGGTCTGAACCAACAAAACGCCAGCCTCACAGTCACTACAGTTATAAGCTGACTGACACATCACCAAAAGATGAGCTCTGGCTCTCCTCCCCTACACAGAGTGCCAACAACAAGCCCGGCTCTGCTTCTGGGGCTCCTCCAAGCCTTCCTGCCTTACACTTTCTATAGGTGGTCACCTACATTCGGGCAAGGGCTGTGCTTACCACACACCACAAGTAGGTGATCAGACTATGGAACTGTAGTCCAAGTGAGGCAGGATGGGAGCACATGGGAATGATGAGGACATGAGAAGCAAGAGCAGCTCCTCATCCCGGAATGTGAGTGAGGGTGTTTGCCAGCCGAAGAGCCAACACTCCAGCACAATGACCAGAAATTGCTAAGGGCTGCTGGTAGTTAAGATTCTTCTCATATACAGATTGCTTTTGTGGACACAGGGTCTCAGTGTCTAGCTTTGACTAAGCTCATAGAGTCCTGCCTGTCTCTACATCCCAAGTGTGAGCTACCACAGCCAGCCTTATTTATAGCTGTTCTATGTTAAAATAACAATGACCCAGGCTTAAGGCATGAAAAACTGTATATGACCTTGGGCATAGTCTTATCTCTTTACCCAGCTACTGAGAGAGAACTTCAAACAAAACTGTTTGCCTTAAGATATCCTACCAGTGCCAGCTGAACTTTCACCTTATAACCTTGTCAGATGCCATCAGAAACCACCCCAGTGACAAGGCAGAACTTTAAACCTCACTCAATGAGTTGGTTTTTCTTGAGGGGGGGGTAGTTTTTCAAGACAAAGTTTCTTGGTGTAATAGCCCTGTCTGTCCTGGAACTCCCTTTGTAGACCAGGCTGGCCTCGAATTCACAGAGATCTGCCTGCCTCTTTCCAAGTGCTGGGATTAAAGGAGTGGTCGCCATCCCTGCCCTGCTGAATGAGTTGCTTTTGAGAAACCCGACCTCTGGGGTATGTTTTCCTTTTTTTTTGGGGGGGGGAGACTCTTTTGCTCCTAATCTTCATGCTTAACCTCTGTTGAAATATCTTTAACACAATCTCCAACTCCACCTCATAAACTGGTTATCCTGGAATTCTTATCAGCATGAAAGCCTGGTGAAACATGAGTTTAGGCCCCTTAAAACTAGAGAAAATCCTCAGGCTGTTGAGGGGTGACAGCTGGGAGCTGTGTCCCCCAAACACTGACATAAAGACACAAATTAAAGGAAAGTGTGGGATTGGGGAGCACGGTAGGGAACCTGTAGATGAGAGCACCAGAGCATCCTGCATCCCTGTGGGAACACTGGGAATCTGGAGGAGGAGCAAAGGCTTGTCTATCTGGCAAGTCACCCTCTCCAGCAGATCACATGATGGGGGGGGGGCAGCACAAGCCTGGAAGCCAAGCACCCTGGGCTGGAGCAGCCTTGGAAACACTTGATTCCCTTAGCTAGAGTTTTCTTCACTATGGACAGTGTTGGAACAATGAATATTGCCTTAAAAAGTTGTCTAGAGGATGCCTTTCACAGTGACATCCAGCCGTCCCTTATAGCTGCTGTCACATCTACCTCAGAAGATGGCTCTGAGCCCAGTAGCGGCAAAAGAGCAGTCAGCAGGTCCAGCCAGCAGACAGGGCTGAAAAAGACACACTTCACTGGGGGGGGGGGGGGGCTGAGGATCAGGGACCTGTGAAAGGACTTAAGGTTCACCCTAAAGAGGTGATCTACCCTACCAGGCAAAAGCACAGGAAAGACGCTGAGGGTAGACGGCTGGTATCTCAACATCGGGTCCTCTTTACCCACTGTCCAAGAGGAAAACAAGCAAACCAGGGCTACCAAAGAGCCTAGAGTATGGCCAGGCCTGGCCTGGATGTAGATTACACATAATGCCCTCCAGCTCCGGGCGTGGGTTTACCAAGACGACCCAATAAAGCCCACGCCTGAGACAGGAATGACCCAGCACTTGCTGCCTACTCTGACATATCGTGAGCCTCTCGAGGCCTCATAGCAGGTTTCAGGGTGAGAGGGGGCGACATGACTAGGCTCCACCAGAGAGGTCCCTGAGACGCTGGAGGCTGCAGCCCTCCACCCTGCAACAACCATGCAGCTCCCTGTCCCGCCAATCGAGCCTCTTAAACAGCGAGTCTGCTCCTGTCTGCCGAGACCCCCCCTCCCCGCACCCGGTCCTGACAGGGATAATCAAAAACACCTTTCAGTACCGTGTGGGCTGCTTTCAATTGCCAGAGAAGGTTTGGTTTGTCGGACTAGAGTCCCGAGTCAGGCCGTTTAGTTTCCATTTTATGCATTGGAAAGGGGAAACTGAGTTAAGACGAGAAGGTGCGGGCCGCCTCGCCCTCGACCAACCTGGTCCAGACCGTGTTCCAGGAGCCCGGCGCCCGACAGTGTGTTAGCCCCGCGAGGAGCGCAGCCCGCCAGCCCCAACCTCCCGCCGCACACTCACCGCCTCCGCAGCCGCCGACTTCCGGGTGCCGCACCCGCGCGCCACAGTCTCCAGCCCAGGGCCCGCCCAGACCGAGGCCAGGACGCTCGCTATTGGGCGCAGCAGCGAAAGGCGGAGCGGCACACCCACAGCTGCGCCTTTGTTGGCTGCGCTTGCCATCGCTCAGATACTCGGCGCTCCTCCCCCAGAGCTGCGCCAAAATTGGAGCTACGCCAAAACTGGAGCTGTGCTGGCGTCTGGTCCCTTCATGCTGCCACTGCAATCCCAGCCTGCGAAGTATCTCTGAGAGATTGAGATAGTCCCTTAACCCGACAGGTTCAGGCGCAAGAACTGCCGTCCTTAGGCTGTGTTTGGTCTTAAACCTCTAGATAGCTCTCCCTTCCCTTTGCCGCCTCCAATTCAGTCAGTCTGTCTCTATGGCCTCTGACCCTTATCTATTGCAATCTCTGCATTAGAAATCACCAAAGAACTTGGGTTTTTGCTTCACCTTGCCTTCCATAGTCTTTGAGCGGACATGGAGACCGTCCCGCAGGTCCCGCAGGTCCAGACCCTAAGGATAAGGAGTTGACCACGCTGGAACTATGCTTGGGCAATGAATGGGGCCTTCGGAACAGGACCGAGGCTTTCACTGGGGCTACCTGTACCCGTTAGCATCAGGTTGTGCCAGGGGCCCAAAGCATCACTAAGATGGGACATCCAAGTACCTCCCTAAGGTGAATACTAAATCCAATTACAAGGATGACATCTAAAATAAGGACAATGATAATGTTCCCAGTTTCTTGATACCCAGTTCTCATTCACTCCACTTTATAGCTGTAAACACAATTTCTCAGAGCAGTTAAGCTATTCATTTGAAGTAAAAGAAAGGGCTGGCAAGATGGCCATGTTGGTATAGATGCTTGCAGTCACACCTGGCTCCCTGAGTTCCATCCATTCCTGGGACCCACATGCTGGAAGGAGAGAATTGAGTCCTTTAAGTTGTTCTCTGATTACCACATTTACATTGTGGTGCATACATACTAAATAAAATGTAATTTAAAAAAAAATTAAAAATGGCGAGTGACAATAGCTGTATGGAAGATCTAGGTGCCACAGTCCCAAACTGCAATGCTGATGTTTTGTAGAAAACTGGAATCCAGATAGGCAAAGGCAAGGCTGTAGTCAGACCCAGCCACCACCGGTGCTGCTCTGCCCATTTCTCTCACAACCTCACCAGTATTCCTCCTAGGAGCCAATGGAAACCGGCTGCAAAAAACATAACAGGACTCCACGCAGCATGACTCTTGGCCAGCAGGTGGCAGACCTAGCTAGGCCCTTCCATTCTCCCTCCAGTTTAGCACAGTCGTGCTGTGCTCCCGCCAGCAATCTCCCACTGAGCAACCAGACCACTAGGTCTTTGGCACTAAGGTAGTAGTGATGGGCAAGCAGGACACGGGCTTGGGGATAAATGAGTATGGCTGGGTTATGGACCAGCAAATACACAATAGCTTGTCTCCAAAGCACCAAGCCATGCACCTTGGAGTGGGACACGGGTTAGACAAGCTTTCCCGTTACTAAACAGGGATGCAAGAACACATTGGACAGTGGTTCAAATCCTGTCACAGGCAGCAGGTGACCCTGTGACTTGATTTGAACCCTTACTCCTTTTTGTTAGTTAAACACTCTGACATTCTCTCCCATTTGAATCTGGCGCATGGCCGTCCCACCTCCAATTGTACATCCCTCACCACCTTTTGTAGCCACCTTTTCAGGCCATAAGTGAGGACCACGCCTTCTTGGTGACTTCCCCCAGCACTGTCCCTACAAAGCTGGCCAGCAGCTAGCTAGATGGGAGCGGGAACACTGAACTATTGGCACCTGTGGTCTTCTGCTCCATGTTTGACCCCTCCCTGGTAGGCAGACTTTAGGACAGCACCCCTGAGACCTACCTAAGCCGTCTCTACCCACCGTGGTCTTGGCTATGCAGCGGGTAACCAGACTCTAAAGCAGACAGGTCTCTGGAAGGGGGCATTCCTAGCTTGAGTCAGTTAGGGAGGAATGTTTTCCTTTTGCCTTCTTTCAGCAGAGAAGAGGCATGTCAGCCTCTTTTGTACCATCACCAGATATGTAGAAATAGTGATAAAGAACTATGGGACTTTCAGAAGAAGGGCTCCAGGATGCCTAGGGGCCATGCCTTTGGAGAATGTAGAGGACAGTTGGACTTACTAAATCCACTTCCCATGGAGAAAAGGGACTCCCCCACCACACAGCAACTTAGCCAGAGTGTTGTTCTGCATAGCAAGAGCTGCCTTCTAGGAGGACTCTGCTTTCTTGAGGGAGCTCAATCTGTCTTCCCAGAGCTCAAAAATATCTCAATGTCAGGATGCCAAATGCTTTTCATTTCAAGTGCCAATAACCAACAGAGTAGAAGCAACTGCCTTGACTTTGAAGAGCTCCTAGTATCAGTTTTTATTGCTAGAGAACAGGTGGACCCAGAAGTGAGATGTTGCTCCAGGCATTTTTCTTTCTTTGTTCTTGCCAAGCAACAATGGTTCCTGTTCAACCATTATTGGGTGAGCATGCTCGACTCAGCATATGTGGGTGAAATATGACTGTCTGGGACACCCCCCCCCCCGGCTTCTGTTAGCACTATCTGTAGGGGCCTTGGAAACGCAGATAGCTCGGGAGTCACTTATTTCCAGGTGCATCCAGGGCCTGAAAGGCTTATAAGCAAGCACAGGCCAGATTCATCTCTGCATTCCCGTCTCCTGTTTACAACATCCCTGGTGGTTCCCCTCCACTGCCTGGTGTCACTGCAGATGTGGTTGGTGTTCTCTACCTGGCAGGGCAATGTGTGCTAATCTTTTCAGGCAGTGGATGATGAAGCTCCTTAATGTTTCTCCAGACTCAAAGCAGGGCAGAGGAAATGCCGACACCAGGGTGGGGTGGGGGAGAGATAAACAATAATTCCCCTTCCCAGGCTGAGAACTCTAGTAATGCCCCAGGAAAGAGCAGCCTCATGCGGTGTGGGGAGTACCCAAGAGCGCTGTAAATATAGGCTTGACAGAAGAAACAAATCCTAGTTTTACCAGTCTATTTTTGCCCTCGAAACACTGCAGCCATCCCCACCCCTTGCCAGCCTTGCTAACCTTGTCTGTCCTCGCTGGGGCAATGAGAGAGCCCCATGCCCCATGGACCACTGGGTTCACGTCCTGGTCTCCTAAAACAAGCAAGAACCTTCCCAGACCTCAGTTTTCCATCTGTAGAATAGGGGCAGCAGGCCAACCCTCCTTGTAGGAGAAATACCATTCTATGCCAATAAAAAGGATCGACACTCCACCTGGTGTCCGGCAAACAGCAGGCGCTAAAGGATACCTGCGAACTGGGGGTGGTGATGGAGACAACGCTGCTGTAGTCCAGTAGTGACCGCCGGCCCTGGGAGCTGCGGCTCAGGGCCTACTATCCGGGAAAATCCTCAGAAGGCGGCCGAGAGGGGGCAGCTCCGAGCCTTCTGTCTCCGTTGCAACCGCAGCATTGGGGCAGGTGTCAGGGCCTCCTCGGCCTGCTCCGCTAGGGGGCCGATCATCCGCTAAGACTGACAATACCAGGAGCCCAACGGCAAGCTGCAATCTCTGCACATCCATCCAATCGGTGCGGGTTGCGGGGCGTGTCTCTCTGCCAATGGGAAAATTCGCGGTTGGATGGGGCGGGGCCGGGGCCTCGTCGCCGGCTGGGTCCGCTCTGCACACGGGTCGTGGGAGGGGTGGGAGGGCTAGACCGCCGGCTGCTCGGGGGTAGGGGAGGGGGGAGGGTTCTCCCCAGCACCCGCACGAGTTGTGGCCCCGGGAGCCGCGTTCGGTGCAGAGTGCTGGAGAGGCCGCTCTTCGCGCGCTGGGGGACCGGGAGCGCCTGTCTTGGGGGGCGGAGGCCGCGCTGCGGAGCCGCCCACGCCGCGCGCCAGGTGAGCTCGGCCGGGTGGGCGGGGTCCGGCTGTGGGCCTGGGGCCTGGGGCTGGACACTCGATTCTGGGCCGGGGCTGGGGTGTGTGCTGGGGGAGCGGGCTGGGTATAGAGTCTAGCTTGCGACGTGGACTTGGCTAGGGACAGGGTCCTGGGCTCGGACTCAAGGTCTGGGTGGGGTTCGAAAGCCGGTTCTTCTGCTCATCAGCGCTTCGCCCACGCCGGGGCTCCAGAGAGCTGGGGTCGCTGGGGGCGGGTCCCTTTGTGCGTGACCCCAGGGCCCTGTCCGACTTGACCAAGGCGCCAGCTTCATGCTACCGGGCTGAACACGATCCAGCTCCCGCAGCCTTGCCCTCCGCGAGCCACCGCAGCACCTGGAACCTGGCACTCGGCAGCTATGGAAACTTTACTACGGGGACTCAGGGGAGGCGAGGTCGGGGAACTTCCACGGGCGGCACAGCCGTTGGTGAGCATAGCGTCTCGGTGATGCCAATGGGGTGTCCCCGCACCGCTCTGCTCCTAAGGCCTCACAAATGAGAGAAGAGACTCTGCTGGGAATCCCTTGTCTGGTGTCTCTGCTTGGATCTTTTCCCTAGATACCCCACATTCCTCAGTGGGACGCCAACCCCAGACAGTAAGCCTGGAGTTGCTCTGGGTAGGAGGCCTGGGTACTCTGGCTTTCCCCCTTTAATTTTTAAGTAATCAGATGTTGCATACATGCAACATTTAACTATTTGTTTTGGTGTCAGATAGCAAAGTGTCTAGGGTACTAGGGGACTCTTGCTTCTTCCCTGTAGATTCAGACATTTAGATACGATGGAAAAGAAAGAAATGCTCCCATTTGTGTTAACTTCTAGGCTCTCTCTCTTTTAACCCATATATCTTTACTTGCAAGTATTCATTGCAGAGAGTCATTGGTCTGAATTGAGG